CTCTTTCCCAGGATGTTTTCCACAAGCTTGAAGTCATTACGTAATTGTTTGCTCTTGGAACTGGTACCTTCCATCTCCTCATCAGCATAAAAGCGGAAATATAAGGATTCATCCTTAAATTCACTTTTCTCCAGGACTGGAAACAATATATATGAAACACATACATGCATTTACACAGAGAAAGAAAAAGAGAAACAAAAAAGAAAGTTAAAGGAAATCCTAAACATTTCCCCAGTCTTTACAGAACAAAGACCAGATGCATCCCTATCAGACAGCTATTCAGCTCTGTATTTTTAAGCTACTACTGTATTTTAGGATATACTTTTCCTTACAGTGCATAGTAGCTCATGATATGATGTTTGACCTCCCTCACATGTAGAATGTATATAAAATGCAGAAGAACCTCTTGGAAGAAAGATGCTACTCAATACCTTATGCTCCTTTCCCATGTCAAAATTAATATGGTAAAACTATAAAATGAAGAAAGAGGGGTAAAATGGCTGTTTAAAGGTAAGTGAGATGGCTAAATAGACTAAGGCATTTCAACCTAAAAAGGAATTGAGAGGGAAATGAGATCTATAAAATTCTGGAAGGTGTGACAAAGTTCTTTACCGTGTTTTCAAATATGAGACCTGGGGGCTTCAAATAAAAGCAGCAAGTGACAATTTTAAAACCCGAGGAACAACTTCTTCATTCAACATGTACTTACGCAAAGGAACTCCTTGCCAAGGGATGCCATGAATGCCAAAAGTTTACATGGGCTCAAAACAGATCAAATTCTTTAAAGAAAAATTATTCCTACAGTCTTATCAAGTACTATGCAAATTCTCTATTAGTTATTTACAATAATCTGCTCTCAAAAACACTATTCAAAATATGGACACTAGATGTTATTTGTGACTAAAACTGGATGTTTCATTGGACAAACTATGTTTTAGTCTTAGGATTTTGTATGTGCTATTTGGTACTGATACAGATGCGGTTTGTTTACTTTCCCAGTTTAGCAGCAGCATCACTGAGGATGGATGATGTCTAACTTGGCAATTTGGCACTTCGGGTTTGGAAGCTTCAGAGATTCAGCACTGAGGATTGTGCTTGTTGTCCAAGTGGCAAGAACTGGGTAATTTTAGTTTGTACCTGACATTTCTTGGTGATATTTCAGGACAGTGCTTGGCTTGTGCATTGGTCTGATGGCTCTGAAAGAGATGCAGTGAAAAAACATTCCCCTTCTAGCTTGTCTAATCGCTTCAGGGCTCATCATAACTACTAGCAAGGGGATTCACTTGGGAAGGTACGAGGCTTAGACATTTTGTGTATGCTCGAAGGACCTGCTAGGATGCCTGCAATTGCATACATGTCAGCATGTATGGCACAGCCTACAGAAAAGGGATTTTCAGACAGTCAGCTAATCTGACTGAAGTAAGAGCTCCTTTAATTGGCAGTGGGAAGTAATATTGATGCATTACCATGATGCATGAAGCCGTTATTGCAGAGTCCAACACCCAGTGCGACAGCTTCCTCCCGAGTCTGACAATCTCCCTAGACACAAGAGGATAAATATTACATTTCAGACAACTTCCTCAGTTAAATTATTCCCCTTCCCCACCACATAGCTTGTGGCTCTGAAATTAGCAGGATGCTTTTTGTAGGGAACAATAGCAAGAAATTAAAATAGCTACCCCGTTGCCCAAATCCCATTCATTCCTATATACAGCATCCCTTGCCTCCTACAGGAATTAGGAGAACAAAGACCAGGATTCTGGAAAGTAACTGTTTAACTCACAAAGGGGCATAATATTATCTCAATGTAAAGACTTTTTATTTGCAATCATAGTGTTGGACTTCAGGACCCATGAGCCACAGACAATAAAACTCATTCTTAAAGAGAGAAGTTGAGAGATCTTATCTATATTCAACCAAAGGGAGAAAAACCTGAGTAAATCCAGTGTATGTGAACTCCAAAGGTCAGACTGGTTAAAACTGCCGTGGCATTCTTTTCTTACACAGCAGACCTATGAACAAAGGCTTCAGTTTCTTACTACCTGAAGCCTTCAGTGTAGTATTTCAAAAGAGGTACCAAAGCTGACTTGCAAATTTACAAATTTACCTGAAATGGCAGCATTAAGTTTTGCATCTACAATTCAGTTAAAAACAAGAAATGCCTGCTTTTTTCTATGTATCTGCTGATTTGCAGCCACAAGTGAAGACTTTACAAACATGCTGGTTGTACTTTTTAGGCAGACATATAAGTTCTAAACAGTGCTGGTAAAAATCAGCAGACACTATTGGTCTTATCCAGATGAAATCCATTGTTAACACTCGTTTAAGATCACCTGCTTCCCAATCCCCAAACCAGAGAATCTGGGATGTACTATCTCACTAAGAGCAGTTAGTCAGCTCATTCCAGCAGGTAGGGGACCTGCTGCTTTGGCAGAGGAGCAATTTCAGCATATTACTTTCAGTCCTACTAAATTAGAAGCTGTACCCTACATAAGTATTACACCTTCTTTTTTTTCCCCTCCTGTCTGGAGAATTAGATATCCTGAAGCTCTAGCAGCAACTGCAGAGTAGAGTACTGACTTTGTTTTAAGCAAACCAGCTCGCAGACCAAGAGCCCTCTGATCTTGTCAGCAGAACATCAGTCCTACTTCAAGTCCTACTAATGATAGCAGTAGCTATTTGCCAGGCAAATACTGGCAAAGAACATCGCTATGGTGTAAACATACTATTTAACATACAGGATAAAACAGGATCAGCTCTTGCCAATCAGCAGCTCTTGTTGAAGAGACTTTCTGAGAGCAAAAAAAAGGCATGACATTTACAAATTAAGAAATAAATACTGTTGTCTTGGTAGGAAAAAGATCAAGGCAGTTGTGGAGGAACTGCATGATTATGTAATCACACAAGAAAAGCCAAGAAAAGGGCTTTAATAAACCTGAAGTTTAACTTTTACTATAAACTAATTTCAAGTCTTCGTAAGTCTTTCCTCATTTTCAACATCCTGTCATGTGACAATTCTCAACACTCGCTTTGTGTTACTTTATGGGATAAATGGGTAGTTTATTTTAAGAGGCTGGGACTTAAAAATCTAATTTATTCTTTCAACTGTAAATAAACTGGAGGAGAAATGCCTTCTAATGTTAATCTCTTAACCTTTAGTCATCTACTTCTGTTTTAGGCAACAAAAACTTTCTGTAGGAAGGCTCTAAACCAGACTTGGCGACTCCTGATGATGTTAACTTGGCCTCAAAACATTCCCCTAGGAAAACAGCATTCTCTAATTATAAAATATAACTTGAAATAGATCATTTCAGCTCACCTGTAAGTACTTCTAAATGTTATGTAGCAATTTGTCCAAATACAATGAAAGCAGTAACAAAAATCTTAAGAAAAAAGAACCACTTAAAATCAACAATCTTGACAGAATGTCTGTCTCATAACTTCTTCATACAGAAATTGGATGTGAAACTAGATACACTAGTTTTGACAAGATAATTTAGGTTTACTCAAATACAATCACTGAATTTGAGTCAGATGAATTATAGAAACAGTTTACAGTCAGTACCTGTCCTGGTTTCGGCTGGGATAGGGTTAAATTTCTTCCTAGTGCTGTGTTTTGGATTTAGTATGAGGAGAATGTTGATAACACATTGATGTTTTCAGTTGTTGCCAAGTACCCTCCTAGTCCAACAGCTCCCATGCCTACTGACTGAGCTAGGTACACAAGATGGGAGGGAACATAATCAGGACAGCCAGCCCAGCTGGCTAATGGGGTATTCCATACCATGTGACGTCATGCTCACTATATGAATGGCAGGCGTGATCCAGGAAGTACCAATCACTACTTGGTTATCGGTCAGCGTGGGTGGTGAGGAATTGCATTGTGCATCACTCATTTTGTATATTCTATCATTATTATTATTATTCTCCCTTTTCTGTTCTATTAAACTGTCTTTATCTTAAACCACGACAATACCATAGTGAAGAATCATGTCCAGAGCACGCTATTATTATTATTACCACTATATATTACTACTGCCACCATTACTATTATTATTATTGTTGTCTAGTTCTGTTAATGATATGATGTCTAAAGCCCTAATCATGGTCAATGGCTGATTGTTTTGAGATGCATAAACCCAGCAATTAAGATGGTCTTTGACCCAGAATGTTTACAACCCACATGTAGGAGAAAAAGAAAGCAGATGAACACAGATAAGTTAAGAACAGCAACCAAACCACTTTTAAATATTTTGTTGGTATCATGGAAAAGGAAAGTTTTAAGATTATGAAGCGCTCCTTCTAAGTGGGAAGGAAGCCTAACGTAATGCAATGCACAGAGGTGCAATATATACTGCAATAGAAAGAAGGAATGGATGGATGGAAGGATGGATGAATGAATGGAAAGAGATAAGAGACCCACTGGAGCAAAAGACCTGAAGAATCTTACCAGCAGGTTTCTACTTTGCATTTTTCCCTTTACTTCCATTCTATCTTTCACAAAATTGCCATTTTAAGTTTCTTAGACTTAGAACTGGGGATTCAACTGGCAGTGTTTTATCACAGATCATTTCTGGAGGTCTGGATATAAATCTTCAGCCAGATGACAAAAATACTGGTTTTGTGGCAGTGCAATCTTTTAGTGTACCCTCAATAACACCTAAGATTCTGTGAAGTACAAGAGCTCTGACATTTATAAGTGAGGTCTGTATTCCTCTTAGTTCTCAGCCTATGGCAGTGGAAGAAAGATTAGGTTGTAAAATGAAGTTGAGAGGGTCCAGAATCAATGAAAGAATGAGCCCCTTCCCTTCAAGAATTACCTCTAAATATACATAGGGACCATAATATAACTCTCAGACACTTTCAATCTAAATCCGCGGATATGGATCAGATATTTCTCCTTTCAGGCTCTGACTGCTGGAACCATTTCTCTGTTACGTTCAAAGGATCACTAAAGTAATGCCTACTGAGAACTCTAATACAGTATTATGTTTTCCAGGATTTGACTTTGTGCCTCTAGAAGAGGCATGAACACTTCCATCTCCAATCAGCACTTATGCTCATATGTGCTTCTCTCCACCATCACACTTAATGCTTTATTTTAGTGTCTCATGCACAATTTGCCTAAGACATACTACGGGGATAACTGCAATAGGATCCAGCTATTGTGAAGAGCTATAAACAATAAAAAGACATCAAGCACATTCAGCATTAAATCTCCAAGTCATTAGGAAATCCCTTGACCATCCTCTCTCACATGCAAGAACTCCCTCGTAGCAAATAATCTGTGCTAGCATATCACAGGGCACTTATTAATAAACCTGATAGTCAGAGATGCTCAGCTCCTGCAGACCCCTGAGGTCTACAGAGCCACAATGCACTGCACATCTAATAATAGAGCTCTTAATGCCTATCCAGTCCCAGACTCTGAGTGCATACAACATATAGGGGATAATAACATATATCACATTTGAATACAACAGTTCAAATGCACACAAGATTAAGCCTCATTGAGGACCCAAGTTATCTCTTCTCGGAAGTGTAATAGCCAACAATTTCCAGGTAGGAGGATAAGGGTACAAAATACAGTTGACACTGTTTCTTTGATCATAAAAAAAAGTTCTTACACTTTTGCTCTCTTCAGACTTACAAATTTTTGTAAAGGTCAAGAAAATGACAAACAGCTTTCTCATTAGGGAGGGCTCCCACTGGCATTTATAGGCTAAATTGCAAACAGAAATGAGAGAGACTATCCTTCAAGACAGTCATCCCTATGCCGCTAAATCTAACAGAAACAATAGTCCTCACTTTTTTTGTGCACCATTTCTAAACTAAAATCATGATGCAAATTAATTGTCAGAAACAGAAATAAATATATCCCAGGAATTTTGTACAATTAGGTAGTTATCAGATCAGACACCATCACCAAGATTTTCAAGAACAGATGCCTGAAGTTAAGGTAGATAATTGAGCAGTTAAATAAATGCACTGCTCTGCAACAAGCTAAGTATTCATTAGCTCCCACTAAAATCTGTTGTTAGCAAATATGGCCAAAGTATGAATGGTTGCTAGAAAATAGTTCAATCTAATATGAAAACCCCAAGAGAACCCCCATGAAAATTACTACTTTTAAGAATCTATAAGCAAAGATTGATTTAGCCACATAGACAGGAATTCATCTAAGTCATAGACAGCAATTTAAATGTTTAACAATGTTCCCCTTTAACTGAGCACAGAAGAAATTTCCCTCATCTTTGCATCTGTATACATGTACGTATGCACAAAATAAATTAAATAAATTACAGATTCTTCTATATCTCCATATCTGGCTTTAGTACATTCTGATTCAATCTTAATGTAAAGTTCAGTAAACAGGAGGACTAACAGCCAGGTTAACCAACCAGAATGAAGAAAAACGGGGAAGGAAATGAACTCCCTTTTCCAGACGAAGAGCTGATGTTTTACCTTGCTATCTGAGTCTTTCTACTGCGTACAGCTCTGTGATGAACTATCGTATTGGCCAGATTAGCCTGATTACATCTCTCTTCTTTGGCCAAAGCAGACTTTTTTCCCCTCAGCCTTCCATGAATTAGACCGCATTAAAATCACATGTAACTGATATGACAACCGCAGTACTAATATCCTTGCTCTCCTCTATGCTCTTAACAGGAAAACAATTGACTGCTCCATTTTCATCCAGTTATTTGGCAGAGAACAACCTTAAATCATACCAATCTTACTGATGTAGGAGGATGTCAAATGCAATTGCAGGAAACATTTCTGAAGGACAACATCCCTGGTTGTCAGAGGCCTGATCCTCATTCAAACTAGCCTCCCTTTATGTTATTTTGGCAGTATAGGACTTAATGTGATTGTGAATCAGACCATCACTTAAGACAAAACCAGAATGTGCATTTGACTCTGTGATGGTAAGCAACATGGCACACTCTCCCTTTAGATTGCTTTAGGCTATCAAAGCTAAATTTTTTAATTTCCGAAGCTACAGGCTCTTCTCTGTAATTACAAGGTAAATGTGAGGCAACTACATTTTCTAAAGACAATGGTGTAGTTGTTGGTGTAAAACTCTAGATTAATTGTTCAATAAAACTGTACCACACCTATACGAGATCAACATTGCTTCAAATGTCTTCAGAAAATCACAAGAAATAGAAAAGATCCCTGATAACAGCCAGTTCACCACTCCTAGGGCTAACAAAGGACTTTCTTCCTCTTTACGCTAACAAATAATAAGTTTTCACCAAATGAACAATAACAGAAAGCATAAGATTTTAAGTTCAAAAAATCAGAATATGTTTAATTATTTTCTCTAGATAAATGTGTTTTATTTACTTTGAAACAGAACCGAAAAATTACTTGTCAAAGACAGCAGTATCTGAAAATTTTCTTACCTGCGCAATAAGCCAATCCACTAGTTTACTTGCAGGGATTACTGATTTGTAGGTCTTTAGGTGGTAGTCACGGTCTCTAATTAAGAAAGAGAATTCAGGGAAAATCAGCACAAAAAGGTACACATTTCTTTTATACTCTAAAACTACATATATTATTGTGACCTACTATTATGAAGTTGAGGAAAGAAGAAGAATTATAGATGGAAAACAAAAATGAGACTCCCAGCCACAAATAAATAAGACAAGAATAGGAAGCAGATATCCTTTTTCTCTAGAAGAAAGGACTAGTTTTTAAACTTTTCTAACAGCTTGAATTAGGAAGGTATTTCAGATCAATACAGAGCAGTGTTTGTATTCCAAATTTCTCTAGATGTTGTTTCAAGCCATCTTCAGAGAGCTCATATTCCTGCCAGAGGCAACCAGGATATTCTTTTCACAGATGTACTGAGCTGCTTCTGTAACTCAAGTTAGAATATTGCCACCATCAGTCCTGTTGAAAATCACATTCTTCTGGCTGGAAGTCATCTTCTAGTTTCCATCCGAAATCCATTCATGTCCAGTTTACATTTATTGGCTCAGTGTCAGCCCCATCTATAAGCTTAAATAGTTCTTCTCTAGTGTTTACTCATCAATGTATTCACAGACAGTGACCCTACATATTCCCTCTACGCCCTCTTTTTCTTAGGCTCACTGAATTAAGCACCTTTTAGCCTACTCTGTCAAGAGAGGTTTTCCTGATTCTCCACAACTGTTGAGATTTTACTTCCTTTAGCAAAATATCACAGAGTAGCCAGATACAAATACAGTACAACGTGTTCTTTTATGGCATTAGATAATTTCAGTCATTGTAAATAAAAAAGAAGTGTTGTATTTAGGTCTTGTAACACAACTTGCACCATCTCACACACAGCCCTTGTGTGAGAGGAGCACTGTTCCTGAAATAAGGAAAAGAAACCCTATTGTAACTTGCTGCATTTAGCAGTTTTCTTCCATTCCTCTTCTCAGAGCCATGGAGATAATTGATGTTTTTAGTCTTTCATAAAATACTTCTAAAGAATTTTGATACAAATATAAGACGACTATGTGGCTCAAGACATTGGGCTCTAACACCTTTCACCTCCAGGTCACTGGATTTAATCCAGCTTACGAAAGAATGAAAAGCTCTTTCCATTTTAAGGCTGTTTACTGGCCCGTGTGAAATAAGTTTGGTGGTCTTGATCCAGTTCCTAGTTCCACATCACAAAAGCCATTACCACAATTAATTTGCATTAATTGGCTCCCTCTTGTTGAGAGTCTCAGTAGAGAGGCCAATGCTGAATGGCTATGAAGAATTAATTCCTCTCTCACCCTGGAGGTGGTCCTTCTATTTCAAGCTTGAGGTCCACTGGCATGACTGTGGAAGGAAACTTTCACAGCCACTGTGACTGTTTTACAGTCCGGATGTATCTATACAGCAGCTCAAGAGAAGACTATTCTTCACTTCTGTCAAATCAACCTCTTTCATTAGCACCACACAATTTGATATTTCCTTTTTTCTAAAAATCTAAAATCAAACCACCATCTAAAATTCATCCTGCTTATGTTTTCCTTTTACTAATCACCTACAGATATAAATATGTTGTGACTGGCTTTTGTAAATAAATGCAGCAGAAATGCCTGTGTGTTTGCAGAATGCAGGGTGTGAGAAATTAGAAAGGGAAGCAGGACTTTCAGAACTTGGGGTGGGGGGAGGGGGGCGCGGAACCAAAACATGACAGCATTTCCAGAAATATGTGTCCTCAGAACAAAAGCTTTCCTCATAGTGCTTACACACATTTTTCGACTTGTCTTCCAGTAATGTGCTAAACCCAGCACAAAACTGTAGGAGTTTTCTGGGCAGTTTTTCCCTCTCGCACTCTTATCTTGAGAAAATGTGCTTTTAAAATGTCAGAACAATAAAGCAAAGCATTAAAATATTGAGTACTGATGAGTAGGGGTTTCCAGATTGTGAGAAGCAACTCCCAACATTTTAATACAGATGCTGACATAGAGCTAGAGTTTTGAATAAGCTGGCATCAGGATCTTGGTCCAAGGCCCAGTCTTTCACTGCTTGTAGTTAAATGCTTGTCAGGATGAATATTTCAACATTAGTTCACTGACTTCCCCCCATTTCAATCTAGCCTAAACAAGAGTAGAGCATGAATCATAGAATGTTATCCAGAACCATGAGCTGCAGGTGAGTAGTCAAATATAGATGTGGGAACCATTGACATTTTGGCAGAATCTTGCTGCCTCACGGAAACTAGAGGAATATAATGTTCTTCACAGAATCTAGCCCATCTACGCACTGAAGTATTGTCCATCCCATGTGTAAGTGAGAGCAAGTTCTCCCATCCTCACAACTTCCCCAAACTAGATCAGAGACATATTCAGAACCTTCTCTACATCTAAGATTTTTCAAAATGTTTCACTTTTTATGTATCATCCCCCAAAGTAGCATGCTTTGTTTCCAGTGGGGTATTACCATTTTGTCCTCAAAGTACATCAGCGTCAGAGTTTACCTAAAGAAAATTATAAAGGCAAAGGCTACATGGAAACTGCCAGGTTTCCAGGGAAGACAACTGAGCAAAATTACATTCCAAGGCTGTCAACAAAATAACTGAATTTTGAACTTCAGGATTCCTCCAGATTCTTTTGGCACATGCCCCTGCTACTCCAAGCAGTTTTGCCAATTTCCTAGAAGGAAGGTTGCACCAGAAAAGCAGGCCTTATCAACCTTGCTAGCATGATTGCAGGGATCAGCAGTTTGAAGATGCCAGATAAAGCAGTGGTCCAAAGGCATACAGAAAGTAATAGGCTTTGCACAACTAACTTGGCTAAAAGCTAGCTCCTGTAGGCTAACATTAGGCTTGTCAGAGGCAAAAAGACACGATAAGAAGACATGAAAGGATAACAGCCTAGGAGATTCAGTTTTCTAACTGGGACATAAAAGGAAGAGTGAGTAGGAAAGAGAACGGCGGAAAGAAGAGCCTGAGCATACTGAGAATGTTAAGTCTACCCAGAAGGATCCTAAAACTTCTGAGTCTGCCATTTTTCACTGCTCATACACAGTTTAGATTCATGCTGTCACTAACACAGATTAATCCCGATATTAGAAGATTCTCCAGCTGGGATTCTATTACAAAAATGGCACATAGATAAAACACCACAAGACAGGTGTAGTGGTAGTTATTTTGTCCTTGTTGATACCCTAAAGCATAAGACTATATCCCTTTTAGTTTGTGGGTACCCTGAGGTCAGTGAAATTTTTTGAGCTTCACTTACCATTATTTCTACTCTGCATGTGAATTGCCATCTTAAGGAGTGAAATTTGTATGTGCAAATACACACATGCATATACATCACCATTTTGCCTACCAAGGGCTGCATCATGCTTTTCTGCTCTCTCCATACCCTTTAGGCTAACTTAAATCTGTACTACTGTAGAACGGCTATTCTGGGAAAAAAACAGAGATCTAATTAGGCAAATTTATGACTGATGAACTGTATCTTTGCTGCTCCTTTCAGCATGACAGTGGCATCTCTCTGTGAAACATCTGTTGTACAACTCAGGAACAAGAGGTCAGTTTTGTTGAATTTGGGACTCCAGCCATGACCACCAGAGGTTTTTTCCTTCCTCATCAGTTTTTCGTATGTAAAAATTAAGTTCTCCTAAGTGAAAATGCCTAATTTTCAATCATAAACACCTAAACAGACACCTACATGGCTCAGGGTGGTTTCCATTATAGGCCAGAAATGTTCATCTGATATCATAGTAAGGGAAAAACGTCTGAAAATCATCTCCTGGGATCTGGGAAAAGAGTTAACTAGCGCTTGCAGATTATCTCGATTCTTTAGCATTTATTCATACAGAGCTAAGTTCTGAAGATTCCACCCAAAATTTTCACGGTTTTTTTCAAATTACAGCTTCAGGTTTTATTCCACTTCAGATTGGGTTTTGTTTGTTTAGGGCACTTTGAATGAAAGAATCCTAGCATCACGTTGGAATCTGTTTACACCACTTTAGCATCTGTTTACATTTTCTAAAACCCAAATAATACAGCAGCTACAATCACACTGTACAATCTGCCCTAAATCAGTAGTCACTTATTAATCACACCCACTTTAACTCACAGAAAATGCCAGAGTAAACAAATAAACTTGTGTCATGCTAACAGCTCTCATGAACTGATAGAGGAAGCAAATGTCACGAAGACTATAACACCAGCCTTTCACTCTCCCAGAACCCAGTTCCAACATCCTCCAGCAGAAGTACAACTACAGATCTAAACTGTGGAGATAGAAGGCTAGTAAAAGAGCCAAGAAAATGCAGAAAATTACTGTTTATAATAAGAAAGAAGAAAGATTTCAATAGTAACATGTCATCCTTTTAAGAAAGCCAGATAATATATACAAGGGGATCATGAAGGTGAACTTACTTTACCACTGGAGTATATAGGCAGTGTAGTCGGCAGTAGAGCCTCACACCCTGAAGAAGGAAAGATGCATGGTATTATCAGTTTTTTCCTTTTCAAAGAAACACTGACTAGCTAAAGCTAGAAAAACCTGGACACTGATGTCTCTATCCAGCTGGAATTATCTACTGATTAACTGTTTTTCAAAACAGTTTCCTTATCCTCGAGGTCTGTCAAACATTCTTTCTTCTTTCCCTGCCTCCAGAAGCCAAAAAAATCTGTCCTTTTATCCCTAATCACCTCCATTCCAACGTTTTCTCCATTAATCCTTCCTCACAATTAACCCATGAACTGATGTCCATAAGAAGAAATCCAATTTATTAAAAGGTATATGGGCAGATATGGGATCAACAGAACTCATCTGACATACAATTATCAGGAAAAGCAGTTAAATATTGATCTCTTCTATCTCCCTGAACCATAATGCCCAGATTTTCAGCAGATGTGCTGTATTATGGCCTACTGTTTTCTTTTAGACCTTTTGTTACTATATTAGGATTGTAATCAGCAGTCTTGGGTGCAGTCACAACCATATTGTTATTTATTGCTAAGCTCTGCTTCCTCTCCCTACAGCGAATGTCTCCTATGGCATTAGGATGGATAGCTTAATACAACAAAGATAAACAGCATTAGGGATTTCCTATACAACAGGTCAACGACATTTAAGGTAGAGCAAACTCTTTTGATGGCTTTTATGCAAATCACACAAGGTTCCAACCAAGAATGATAATACAAACCTTGGACATGATGTCTTCCAATTCACTTCTTGGCTTGTATGTTCCATCATCATAGCGAAATCTGTACATCACCTGCTCATTCTTAAACTGGTGCTTATCTGAAACTAAAACATCAGTATGATAATTAAAATTAGTCTTTTCTCCCCTGCCATGTTCTTCATAGGCCAGTTGGTACATCTACACCTAAGGATTTGCTGGTATCTATCACTTTCTGAAGAGAGGACTCAGCTCTTCAAATTTCCCCTTATTGTGTATATGTATGCTTATGTGCACTTCTGCATAGCTCCACCAACAAAAGCAGTTTTCTAAAATGCTGCAGCTCCAATAAAATTGAAATTTCTTCCTTTTACACTAGATTCAATTTATGTAAGGCTTTGGAAACAGTCCTAGTGAAGGTAATTGGGACCGTCTGTCTTTTTTCGGTAAGTTTTGAACACAGTGCCTGCAAATTCCCACAACAGTTAACAGAGCACTTAAGTCATTTTTGCAGTTGCCCAAAGTTCTGCAACTCCAAAAGCAGAAAGCATACTGGTGGGAGGAACTACAGCTGTTAGAGATATTCTTCTATAGTTATTGTATGTTCTTCTATATTTCTGTTCTATATAGAATATTGTAATATTCTATATTTCTGTATATTCATACGAATATTATGTATATTCTTGTATAAATACAAGAACCTATGGTTCTTGTATTTACTAATGAGTTCCTTTGAAAAATTAAGTAGTATTTTTGAGGGACTGCTTTTTCACCCAGAATAGCCATTCCACAGTAGGGCAGTTAAAATCTTATTGGGTAATGCTATATACTGATAGGCTTTAAAGACAAGGCACAAAAGATACTTCAGTGTGACAAGGAACCTTTTCAAAAGAAGCATTGGCCAAAATCAGAAAAGAGTTAAAAACCATGCCCAGTTTCAAACAGATTTATCCAATGCACCAAACTGGTAAAGGGCTGAAGTCTATATCCAATTATAGGTAGGTTTATCCTGTCTCTATTCTAAGTTAAACTATTTCAATAGAAGTGGGAAACCTTCATACTGAAGATAGTACTTCAGTAACTAGTAGAAATTATTTGTTTCGCTGATCAGTAAATAAGTCGTAATTAAAAGTAAAAAGTGCCAACAATTGTTCAAATTCAAAATAAGTTATAAAGTATCTTCCAGATTTTACAACACATAGTATAGAAATGCCATTGTTCACAGCTTAATTTTATGGAGACCTGTTACAACTATGTAGAGAAGGAAGAGGAAATCTAGAGAAGAGCAACCAAAGCAGACAGCAGATAAAGTAGGGTAGCTTAGCCACTGTAAATCTTTCCTGCCTTTGCCAATGTAACAAAACCATGGCCAGATGTTTGTGCTAGAGCACCCTTTAATACTTCGGATGCAGTATTTCACACTGCAGGCACAGCATTTGATGAACTGAGAGAAAATACGGATTTACGCTATTTAAGATGCATCTTAGCCTGAGTTTGATTAACCTGAGAGAACTGATTGCACTGGATGACTGAAGACAATAAAACTGGATTAGGCAGACTCAGAAGTACCAGGACTCAGTTTGAGATTTAGTCTGCCCCTTGCAGAGTGGGCAGGATGATTGTTTAGAAAGCAGAGACCAGAAATTCTTAAGACCTTCCCGCATTACATAGCACATCCTTGTCTATGAATATTTAATTAAGATTCCTGCTTTTGGTGGTATTTTCCTTAATTTCACAGAGTAAAACAAAGTTTGCAGGATCTGGTGTATATCCTTTTGTATACAGTGGAATCTCTAAGCTGTGTAAGCTATTGACTTCTTTGAGTGTCTGCATGCTCTGGATTTTGTATTTCTACATCCAATTGAGAATCGAGTCTGCAGAAAGCGTCTTTTGTGTCTGGCACACAGCAGATCAGGTTCTGATCACCTCTGTTCTCTGTGACAGGTACCAGAACTTCCACATCAGCAGATAAAACAGCCAGAATTAGAGGAGATACAGAGGAAACTGAGTGACAAAACACACCGAACTCAGCACTTAGCACAGAGCTCAGCATTTAGCAATCTTCTATGGCCCTGCTTCTCAGGCAGGCTGAGAGATCAGCAGTTTTCACCTGACAGTAATGTTATGCCAAGTGAAAACAAAAGATAAAAGATATTGCCTAATGTTGAATAGGATGCTTCATTACGGTGCTTAAGTTTTAAGTTCTTGCTACATCAGGAGACACATAATGGGATACTTTCATGTGTAATGATTTATCAAAATCTCAAGGGATACTTCCTTAAGTAAATGTAGCATTGCAAATACCTTCCAGTGCCTAGCAATAACTGTCACTGGAGACACTAACATCAGGAATTCTAACTAAAGGTAACATTAAAACCAAATCACATGCATCTTACTCGGGGCATTTGAATAAGGGGAGCAGTAGATATAACAGCACAACTTTCTTTGAGCTGTAAATTTGTGTTTAGAACAGAAGGACACTGCTGAAAGTGTCAAAGTATGAAGTTATGGCAAGGTAAACAGTCGTCATGAAAACAAGTCTCAGGAGAGCTTTTTGCACAAACAGTGCAAGCGTACATATTCAGAATGTAGGCAAGTAAGGGTGTGAGTGCAAAAGAGCATTCTTCATCCAAAGGGGGATCCCTACACATTGGAGCCAGAGTGTTTCAGTTCTCCATAGCCACAGTTAGGGTCAAGTACTCAAAAGCGTTTAGTGCTTTTGAGCTCACGCTTAAAGCCCTTCAAAGTCTGAATGTGCCTAAAAGTATGTCTTGGTACCTGGAGGTGGAAGTGTACACGCATGAAAGATTACGGTACTGCTCATATTAAATTTCTCTATGTGTTAATTAAAAGAAGAGAACAGACATAATTTCTTAACGGTGTTACTGTCACCTGAAAAACGAGTTTGTGGAGCTAAGTTACCAAGAGATTAAAGTAAGACTAGCCTAATTAAATGGCTCCCCTATTTAAATTGGTTTCCAAGAGATTGTATGGAAATGTAGACCATTGGTGACTTCAGACCTATATACCTTATTCCTTTGATGTGCATTTTGCAGCTAAGCTCACCTGAAAGTTGAAATTGGGGCATTTGCTGTTTAACTAGAATAGGACTATGTTGTTCTGTCTGCATAACGTAATATGAAAATAATAGGAAACAGCAGGACAAACCTGGATTTAAAGGACATAATCTGGAAAAAGATCTTATTTTAGTAGAAATGCAGATAGCACAGAAAGTTTTCAAACAAGAACCTTGTGCTACTTTGGTCATGCAGCACTTTTGTATGCACTATCCTACTCTTCTAAAATACCCCTCATAACAACACTTCAAGGTCATCTGCCGGGTGTGATGAAGAAATATGGTGCATCAGTATTTTAAAGAGAGACATTCTTGCCAAATGAGCTGGAAAGAACAAATCTCACAACAAACCCTCCATCATCTCTTTTCTTTATGACAAAGAGTCTCATTAGAAAGAATGACCCATCATCTGGAGCCCCTCACTCTGTTCGTACCAGTGCCCCATTCTGAAAGAGCACTGCTCGACTATCCTCTGTACTGCTCATGTCTCATACGGAAAGCCATATTTATTGATCACTACAGATTTTCAAACACACAAAGTGCAAAGGAATATACACCTGATATAGTCTGCAACAAAGATCTTGCAGAGAAATCAAGCAACTGCAGGCATAAACACTTTCAGGATACCCAACAAGTCCTGTTTTCATGACATAAATATGCCCACTCATCAATCCCAAAAGTCATTAAACATTTTGAGGATTTGATGGATATAGTACAGGAAAGTATTTGAACATCACGTGAACAGCTGCAGTCAGTTTTCCACCCTCATTTCCAGTGCATTACTGAAATCTGACATCTCTGTATGGCATGGAGCACTTACCATGATGAATGATTCCATTTTCCAATAGTGCCTGTCCCAGGTTGACCCCCTCCTCTGGTTTGCTTATCTCTCCAATCTCTGTAAGCCATGATACAAACTCACTGCAAAGGGAAGCACAACAGAAACAATTAGCTTTTTTCCTCTGAATATAAGCAGACACATGCCTCTGCAAGTCATCAGCCAACCACGGGAGACTCCTTGAACCAAGTGTGAAAACTGTTATAAGTGATGATACCTCTACTAGGTGGCTCGATTTCCTACGTTTCTGGAGGAAATGCTCTGCAGAAGATCCAGATCTCCTATCCGTGGCTTTTCCCACCATTCCCCTTAGCTCATCATAATTAGCATGCACACAAAAGGAAAGACAACCTGGCTGGATCTATAAAGATGCTGCAAATCCTTATTTTATTGAGCAATCCAGACATCCAAGGGGGAAAAGGAAAGCAAGATTAACTGATGACTTTAAAAACAACATATTGGACAGTAGAGAAAACAGCTGCTTCTATCCAAGCTATTCCTCCAAGCAGTGTTCGTGGTCTGACTTAGTTACATATGCTTACCTTTCTTCACTGGGTCTGATTTCTGGCCCGTCCCGCCCCCCCCCCCCCCCCCGTGGTGTAATTGCATTGGCTTTAATGGAGTCACAGTAGGACTTAGGACAGAAGATTCAACCTACTGAATTCAAGCACAGAGCAGTGAGAGAGCGCACAAGTCCCACTGACAGGTTAATTTAAGGTCATTTACTGGAGTTGGTGCCTGGCAGATACATAAATGATGCTTCTAATTTATAGACAAAAGGTGCTAAGTCTGTCTGCTCATACAGCACGAAACAAAACCTCTCTCTGGTGAGGGGCAGAGCTGCACATATGGGCAGAATAAAAGCCAAAAATGGATAGATATGTTACTCAATTAGAAACAGTAAGTACAGAAAAACAGACATTGCAAGCCTGATGAATACAGCACTGCCAAAGCCCTAGGGGGCTCAGTTGTTTGCCAGGTTAATTAGCGATTATACTAGAAATGTGTTAAATTCATAGAGAAGAACAAAAGGAATATATGAAAGTAGAGCAACATATGGGAAATCTGAGTTCAATAAACCACTTGGGTGCTTGCCAATGTGCAGAGGGTTGCTGCTTATCAAAACCAGTATCCATGTTTCCACTTATGGGCTCTAAATGAAGTATTTTTAGTCTCTTCATGTTTATCAGAGCTGACTCATCTAAGCTGTAGGTAGTATTTGCATTTTGCCTTTAGAATAACAACAACAACTTCAATACTGAAAACTTCGGTTTGCTGAGGGGCTACTCTGTAACTGTCATAGTGTAAAAAAAGCAGCAGAATCTATTCAACTATGCCAGGGGAATTCCATGGAAACCAGCAGAGTTTTGTAGAACTCCTAAAGCCAGAGTACTGTAGTGATGAGTCAGACTCTCTAAGGAAAGCTCATGCTCAATTTCCCAGTGATTCTGAACTATTTCTAGAAGTATTTAAAAGCTGAAACAGAATATAAACTGCAGAGGGAGGAGAAGTAAGAATGATCCTCCACACTCATTACTGAGAATACAAGACACACATTCTGTGGAGTGCCCCATCACAGACATGCTGGCCAATGACTGTAATGATGTTAAGTACCCAGGGTAGATGCCCAGTTGCTATATATTTTTCCATCAAGTGCAATGGGTCTATGGCAGTTTACAGCATTTAAACAGTTGCCCAAAACTTTAGCAGAACACTGCTACCCTGTTAGCTTTCCTGCTGCTTTTATTTGGAACTGCGTCCCTGGAGTTTATTTGGATTGTAAATGTAAGGCAGTCTTCTTAAAGTTTGAAATTGCGAGCTGAAAAAGGAAAATAACTGCACGCTACTCTCACAGCCCTGAAGCTTCAGATGGTTTTCTTAAGAGCTGCTTTAAGACTTCTGTGGCATTTGATTCATAAGCAAAATCAGAACTCATTTGCTCTGAAGGCTTTATAAGCACTGAAAAGTGCATGATCCAGAAATATTCCAAGAGGTTTTTTAGGAATATGCTGGACTGTTGCTAAAAAAGCATCAACTCAAAAAGCAGATGACAAAGCAAAGTCTGATTTGTTTCCTCATCTCGTCCTAAGCAGTTCTCAGTATAACCGAGAGTATCCTCACTTCCCGGTGCTAACATGCTCAGTTCTCATCTGGCATGCAAGTCAGGACACCATCTCCCAACTATACCTCTGAAATTAAAGGACTTGGAACAGCTGGGTTTCTACTCAAGAAATACACAAGAAAATCCAACCCGTCCAAGTTCGTGCAATCTGATCAGATATGTTTGCAATCTCCTGAGGTTAATAGATCCTCTCCATTACAAGCTCAATACAGTTCAAGGTTTTGCAATCAATTTAGGGCAGTGCTGAAAAGAAGCATGGCAAGCATATAATTTACTTATATTGGCACCAACACACGTTTTTCCCATTGTATCAATAGTCACATGCCTAAATGCCAGTACACCTGAGGAGTGGTTAGGAAAATGGATTTGCACTCAAGCAAGTCAATTGCTGAAGTTAAGTTCAATAAACAGCCTTATAAATAAATGCATGTGATATTTCTGAAGATATTAGGATTAGTTCATGCTTTTTTTTCTGCAAACACATTTTATCTCTTGAATTATTAAATGCTATCTGATATCCAAAGGCCTAGAGAAAAATTATTTTTTGCAGTCTTAGTGTTACTCTCAGCTGCATGTAGCAGAAAACCATCTCAGCACAGTTATTAATGGCTCCCTTAGGCAGGAATATCTGAAAAAACAAATAGGTCACAGCCAATATGCATTGTTCAGGGGAAGCCCCAGGAATAATATGAAAAGTCTGCGAGTCATGACTGGATTGTACTGATTGAGTTGCACTCGACTGAGTTGCCCAGGACCGTACCAACAAGTGACTGTTGAAAAGATATCAGCAGAGTTATTTTCTATGGGGAAGGCTGGAACATTAGCAGAAATAATGCTTTTGTCAGAGATCAGGATACCTGTAGGTATCTCAGTCTGGGCTCAGTTAACCACTGGCAAAGTTAGGTCAAGTCCTCACTACTGGAGTGTCAGGTGGCTGTCAAGCAAACTGAGGGCAATGAGCAGAACAGATTATGAAGCATGTAAGAAAACAGACATTTTAAAAGAAAAAGGAGTAGCAGGAAATCCCAGGTAAGACTTGAGACTAAGCAAAATATCAGGGAATCCACAACAGACTCATATATATCAGCACTGCAACAACCTAAGTTTCTGATCTGGTACTTCTTGTTGCATGGAAAATAGGAAATGCTGTATCATGCCTCCAAAATCAGAGCTTGAAGATTTCAATTTGA